ACGCAGCGCCTTAGACCACTCGGCCAGAATGACATGGCATTTCTGTAAGTGCGGAAAACTTCGGCGTGCCGATATGTCATTGCACATCAGCTGGTAAAAATCGCTGTCATCCGCAGGTTCGAACCTGCGCCCTCCGAAGAGGACTGCGACCTGAACGCAGCGCCTTAGACCACTCGGCCAGAATGACATGGCATTTCTGTAAGTGCGGAAAACTTTGGCGTGGCGATATGTCATTGAACATCAGCTGATAAAAGTCACTGTCATCCGCAGGATTCGAACCTGCGCCCTCCGAAGAGGACTGCGACCTGAACGCAGCGCCTTAGACCACTCGGCCAGAATGACATGGCATTTCTGTAAGTGCGGAAAACTTCGGCCTGCCGATATGTCATTGCACATCAGCTGGTAAAAATCGCTGTCATCCGCAGGATTCGAACCTGCGCCCTCCGAAGAGGACTGCGACCTGAACGCAGCGCCTTAGACCATGACATGGCATATCTGTAAGTGTGGAAGACTTCGGCGTGCCGATATCTCATTGCACATCAGCTGGTAAAAATTGCTGTCATCCGCAGGATTCGAACCTGCGCCCTCCGAAGAGGACTGCGACCTGAACGCAGCGCCTTAGACCACTCGGCCAGAATGACATGGCATATCTGTAAATGCGGAAAACTTCGGCGTGGCAATATGTCATTGCACATCAGCTGACAAAAGTCACTGTCATCCGCAGGATTCGAACCAGCGCCCTCCGAAGAGGACTGCGACCTGAACGCAGCGCCTTAGACCATGACATGGCATATCTGTAAGTGTGGAAGACTTCGGCGTGCCGATATCTCATTGCACATCAGCTGGTAAAAATTGCTGTCATCCGCAGGATTCGAACCTGCGCCCTCCGAAGAGAACTGCGACCTGGGAAAAACAAACCCGCTAAAACAGAGATCCCGGTATGATTGAGCAAACTCACAAGGGAAGCATGTTTAGACAAAGTGGTCTTTCCAGATGAGACGCATACTGCTTTGAAAAGCATGCGGTAATTCCAAATCTGTCTTCCAAATTTGCCAAGCACCTCTGGACGCCATGTTATGGGCGTTTTTCAGGTCAAAAAATTGAACGCACTGGAACAAAATCGCGCATTGCTCAGATGGTCCAGTGCCAAGTATCAGAGTCATTTATGCAATGGACATATTTTCTCTAATATGCTGATGCTCAACACTGCTTTATCTGAGCGCTGGAAAGCTCGTAACAATCGATTTTACCTAAATTCTGCATGCATTTTTCGTCCAAAAAAACGGTCACAACTCGGCATCGGAGGCGCTTGGCAGATTTGGAATCACTGTGCAATACCCTTCAAAGCAGTATGGGTCTCATTTGAAAAGTCCACTTTGACTAGACACGCTTCCCCTGTCAGTAGGAGGTTTATTCTAATAACATTATTTCTTGTCTTTGTGCTGTGCTGGAGGGCCTCATTGGTTTTCTCACTTATTTTTAGATATCGAAAAGTACAAATCAATGTTTTCTTGATGCATCTTGTATGCAGTTTGTGAATTTCAAGCAAATAGTTTATTTTGTGCACTCATTTTACACCGGGAGGCACTCAAAAACGAGCAAGCGTTTTGGTGCAGAATCAAATTCTGTTTTGTTTCAAATTCTTGCAGAATCCTAAATTCTTCTTCTATGTATCCACCAGTACTTTTCATGATTTGAAGAAAACGTGAAAATTTGAGACTCCGATGACACTTCCCTCTCTTTTTATAATCGTTTACTAAGCCACCAAATAATTTATGGTCTTCATTTGTGAGCACTTAGTACGCAATCGCTTACGTTTCCTTTTCATGACTTACCACTTGATTTCCCATCATTTTTTTTTATTCGGTGCGAAATCGTAGTATGCTTACTATGTTTCGCACTAAAATGCGTGATAATTCAGTCACTTACGGGCAGGGCTCGGCACGAGGTGGCTAGATGAAAATGGAAAAAACGAAGTCCCCCTTGACTTTTGGGAATTTTTACGAAATCCCCTTTGACCCTCAACCAAATTTCCCCAAAATCCCCCAAAAAACGAAACGTCGACTAAAAAAACGTTGCCAAATCGCCAATTTTGCGCCTCTCTTCGGTCACAAAAACGAAACCCCCTTTGCTTTTTGTCTCAAAAGCGATACCCAGCTTGCTTACAAGCCACACCTGTGCCGAGCCCTGCTTACGGGTCATCTGTACAATAATTGGAAGCAGGACGTAACTGAGCACAATAACGGCTCAAATTCATGTAACTGTTGAGATGTTGCAAATAGAAATCTTTGTTCAAATGTACAACCTAAAGTTTACAGAAACTTTGCTAAGCGAATCGGCTACAAAAACTTTTCATAGAATTAAGGTGAATACTAATTTTGGCTAACAAAGTGTAATTCAAATGAAGTGTATATTTATGGACAGGCAAATAATTAAATGCCCTCATATTGTTCATGAACAGCAGGAGTTGCCGCATTAACCTTTCACCCTCGTCGATAACAAATCTGAATTAGAGACAAAATAAGTTGTGAGAGAAAGTGAAGCAGCAAACTTGCTAAAAGGTCTAGGTAAGTACACATCAACGAATACAACAAGTAATGGCGCAAAGTCACTGATCTTTGCAAAAGCATCAGCCTCAACTGGCAGTGCAAATACATTCAGATGCCATAGGACGAAAATTTGTTCGTAATTTGAATGAAATTTACTAACTTCTCTGATCCTTAATCCAAATTTAGGAATTTGTTTCAAAGATTAAGGGGTTGCGCTCTTTGACAATGTTTCAGTGCAAGTTTTCAAAGACTAGACCTTGGAAGCAGGGCTCGGCACGAGGTGGCTAGATGAAAATGGAAAAAACGAAGTCCCCCTTGACTTTTGGGAATTTTTACGAAGTCCCCTTTGACCCTCAACCAAATTTCCTCTAATAACCTGAAAAATTCCCCAAAATCCCCCAAAAAACGAAACGTCGACTAAAAAAAAGGTCGCCGTCGCCAATTTTCCGTGTCTCTTCGGTCACAAAAACGAAACCCCCTTTGCTTTTCGTCCCAAAAACGATATCCAGCTTGCTTGTATGCCACCTCGTGCCGAGCCCTGCTTGGAAGAACCAAACTTTTGAAACGTACATCATACTCTGTGATTTTCAGTCTAGTGGTAATAATGAGTCTGCTAGTTAGCCTCAGAAAATTCGCAAAATTTTCTAAAGTAGCATCCATCTATATATGCATGTGGCAGGCTTCAGCATCGCAGGAAAATGCAGAAACAGATTTTTTGTGAGAAGATGCTATTTTACAGGAAATGTGCCTCTATTACCGCAAAATTTTAGCAGGAACACAAAATCAGAATCACTTAGTGCTCGCATGACCTAATAATTTTTTAGGTGTCAAACTGTTATTTTCTGTGAACTAATGATTTCTACAAATACCAATTCGGGTTTTTACTAATTGATCAACCTATTTATCCATTTACATTTCAGTTAAGCTCTAAGGAAGGGGAAGTGTCGCCAAAAAACTAAGCGTTTAATATAAACTCAAATTTACATTCGTTTCGGATCATATTTGAAATTATTGGTTCTCACGAAAATTTTGTTCTCACGTTTTCTTGCATCTTTGAAACTGCCAGTAATGTAGTCACTGATCTCCCATGATAAATTTTCAGTACTTTTTTGGGACTAATCAGCGCACTCTAATATTTTACACAATCAAACCCAAAACCACGAATTTTTGTCTCGTTTTTTTAAACTCGGTTCCCTAAATCTAGCCAACATAAGATTGTGATTTGGCCATTATCATGAAGCATAAATCTTCTCATTTTAGCACAAAATTGTTAATTTGTGCGGGCCGAGCCGAGTAAGCCACTCTTGTGATGTCTGGGTTGTCTCGGATCGAAGATGAAAGTTCTTGTACTTCCTCCATTATCTCAAACCATCCAATCACTCCACCTGTGCTACTTGAGCGCAAATGTATGTAGGAAGTTTTATTAAAGACAGCTTGATGTAGAAAATTAGTAAGTGGATTTCCCCCCCCCCTCCCCCATTGTACGTTATTTTGAGCAAGGCGATGTCGGAAAATAGAACATGTCAAAGGTCAATCAAAATCTTATTTTATTAGAATGGAAAGGAACAATAATCCATTGATGGCGCACACATATTCTAAATAAGTCACTAGTTCATCAGCTGTGAACGAGCTCGTTGTTGGAATATAGAAAACACCAAGTCTATCGAAGTGATGCATTTAGACACATGCAAAGATTGAGAACAGTTGAGCTTATACAAAACAATGATATTGAAATATAATAATTAGCGTAGCTACTCCACTTTTCATGAGATTTCACTTACATTTGCTAATTATTAATAATTTATTAGTTTTCAAGATGTACTGCTAAAATCAAATAAGTCTATCTTCAATAACTTCGGCACTATTAGAGTAAATCCCGGAACTTCTGCGCTGGAGTAAATCACTTCTTTGAGGGCAAGGACAGTACGTAGCATCCTTTCCAGGGCGACCACGCTGCCCAGATGTTCCCGGTTTTCCGTCGTTACCTTTACCTCCGGGCAAGCCAGCCTGACCAGGCGGTCCTTGTAATCCTCGCTCTCCAGTCATTCCATCTTTACCCTTGATACCTGGCATCCCCATGTCTCCGCGCCTGCCAGGAGGTCCTGGCACTCCGGCAGCTCCAGCACCTTTTCTTCCGTCTTGACCTTTCGGACCTGGTGGACCATCCCTTCCAGGAGTACCATCATGCCCGCAATCACCAGGAGGACCTACGGGTCCAGATTTCCCATCATTTCCCTTTTGTCCAGGAAGTCCTGGTCTTCCATCGGGACCATGTGGACCTGGAGGACCATCTGGCCCACATGGCCCTTGTGGTCCGGGCGGGCACTTGACGCAATGACTCGGAGCAGGTGGGCACTGGATCGGATCATATGTGGTTGTATCGTCTCTACCAGGAGGGCCTGGTGGACCAGGCGTTCCTAAACGGGTGCATTTCTTTTTGCAATAAAGTGTTTAAAAAGATTTACCTGGCTGCCCGGGCAGCCCTGGTGGACCGGGAAGACCGGGAGGGCAAACAATGGGATCAGGTACGCATTTACACCAAGGTGGCAAGCCTGACTGCTTTTTCTGACGAATAATGGAGTCAAACAGGTTTTCTTGTGGTTTGGATGAAGAAAAGACAAGCGATCGCACATCCATCATCTCACTCCAGGCCAAGTTAGTCTCCGTACGAAATGCTGCGACTGCTTGGAGAACCTTGAAAAAAATTATGAGGATACAAAAGTTATTTTTGTAACTCTCACCTGTTCATGCAATTCATCAATGTCGTTGCACAGAGAGGGTAAGACTCTGAGACAGGCAATTACAGCCAACAATGACCCTATAGAGGTGATGCCAACGATCTGTGCCTCCACCAACATAGCTCAATGATACAGACAGTAAAATGTTGCTTTTATAGTTTATCTCAGACGTTTGTTTTACTTTCCATCTCGCTTTTACCCTTTTTGCTCCCATCAAAAACGAGTAAAAAAATGAGTGAAAAAATATTTGACGCTGTCGATCACTACAAGTTACTTCAAGTGACTTTGCTTGATGGTAGAAGGAATTGTCTGTGATGTGCCCGTGGAACCAAATTCACTTTCCACTGTATAAATCAGTCCAAGTTTGCCCTTGACGGCAATTCCTGCAAGTGGACACGCAACTTATGAACTTTCCAATGATCAAACTTATTGTAGAATTGCGCAAGTTTGTAGCAAATGGTTTGAAACATTTAAGCAATAAAAATGTGTGATTAATCAATGCTTTTTGAGCATTAACTCTAGTTTGGCATATCTGATTTTTAATGAAAACGAAATGATTAGGTTGGCTAATAAATAAGTTCGGTCGCTTTTGCAGCTCTTACAAATGCTGCAGACAAATTTTTGCCCTATGTTTGGTATCTCTAGAAAGAGCGCTTTAAAGGCAGTGTCCCTGCAGATTCGAGTCCTGGGGGATAAAGGTGTGGTGGGGTTCCTGGTCACCCAACGACCTCCAGGCGCAGTTCGGCTGGGTGATGTTCCCCCTGGGCCGAGAAAATGGCCCTTGAACCGGCGCGCGCAACCCCAGATGGCGCGCGCTCGGACAGCTTTCCTTGTCTGTTCGGCGTGGGACCCCACGAGCGCTCTCCCTCATTGTGCATGCTATCTAAAACAGAAATTACAGGCGGCAGGGTTTTTGTCTGAGGACCTCCCAACTTTCCATTGAAAATCTCGTTCGAGCTGCTTTTTTGAAATCAGTTAAACGCTCCAAAATCGGCCTTTTCAGCCCGTTCAAATCAAACTCGGGTTCTACGTGGCGAAAAGGCCTAAAACATGCAGAAAGGTCGAAGTGCAAAATCTGCCGGGACAGTGCCTTTAATGGGTATTGGAGCATACTTTCTCTTTGAGTAAAACCTATCTTCCAATGAAAAAACTGCAAGAAGTGAGAAAGCGCAATTTTTTTATAATGCGCAAATATGAGGAAATTTGGTTTTCTTGGTGAAACATTTTCAAAGTGGCAAGGAAAACTCCACTGGATCCAAATACCAAACTGATGTTCTTTACATCCATTACAGCATAAAAAAGAAGCTTAGGAAGGTTCGCCATGTTGAGGCTAACTGTCTTTACTGATGATAGGAATCCTAAATATCTTACATGTGTAGAGGAAGCTTTGAACTACTCTCCCCCAAGAATTACAGATAGAAAACAACAAGAAAATATGATGATTTATACGCCAACGAACTTAGTTTTTAGCCACCCTAATAGTTAGATCTTGCTCAAAAATCAGCAGGCTGGTTTGAAGTGACTTGATGTAAAAGAGAAGTATCAAATGGGAAACAAAGTTTTGCAACTTTCCCAGTAACTTTCCTCTCTTTTGACCTGGGGCACTCAAATTTTTATGTAGAGTATGACGTGAACTACAAGACTAGTTGCTGTTCTGCCACATTTTAACGTCGCAGTGAGGCTTACGATAGGTATATGGTATATGGGGAAAAATATAGAATTTTACAGATTTGGCTGAAACTTGGCATGGAGAGGGGGGTATCCAAAATGCTGATCACGAAAGCGCGATATTGAAGTGCGGTGGCATAGGTTCTTTTATAGTGTTACTGTAGATTCATGGTATAAGCTCCCAGCCTGAACAAGAAAAGAGGCGTTGACTTAACAAATAAATATGATATTCGTGTCTGACAGGTCAAATAATCCCAATATGTGAAGTATCAGCGAATTGAGGTTCTGACTCCTTAGTCATTGACGCTTGTCCTCAGCAGCCTTGTATGAAGAGGCTCGTTCGATTTTGTGAACTCTAAATCTTGATTAGCCTCTAAACTATTTCTTTTATAATAGGCAGGATGAGTCAATCTCTAGCAACAATTCATACACAATTGGATTTATGTGCATAGTCTAGGCTGCCAACGGCTTTATTTTGGCTTATAACCAGGGTCGAGCGTGGAGTGTGGCATGCCACACCTGAGATTCGTATTGGGTGGTAAGGGATGGGGGGAGGGAGGAGGGAACGGGGGGGGGGGGAGGGGAGGAGAATCGTTATCGAAGTGATACCGATGTTAGCGGTAAAATAATGTCGCTAACATTGTCACAGGCATAATGCAAAAAATTAGGACATTGATGTTTTGGCCTAACCATCGTATACATTAAGAAGCATCATGAAAGAGCCCTAAAAGCATCACATCATTTACCATAGATAGCATGTCAAATAACTCTTGTGGGCCAAGTTTCAACGAATTCTAAGGTTTTCAAATATTGCACTTCTCAAGTGAGATGGTCATATCCAAACACGCTAACTTTGTTTCAAAAGAGTCAACTACTTCTTTCTACGCTCAATAGAGCAACTACTACTTTTTTGCTTACATTAGGAATTCCGCTTCGAATGACTTCCAAACTATGGAGTTAAGAGCAAGCCAAAATCTTGTTTGTCTCTTTCTTCGCTCTCAACATCTCAGACTAGAGAATCCAATCAGGCTAATACCACTTTTGCGAAATTCGAGGTCTAGCCTATTGAATGTATTTATTTTTACCTTCTCTCTGGCGATCAACGCAGTAGCGCAGAATAAGCATGCTACCGTAACCCAATATTTTCGCAGTATTTTCCACTTGCAAAGATAAGGAAGAACGACTATATATTGCTCTAACAGGAATGATTTTGAACGATATTCCTGCGGTAGGGAGAAGAAGGTTTAGTAGTGGCAACGATATAAAAATACTGATATTTGAATGCTTTGAAGGTATGTTAATGGGGTGTGGCACAACTTCTAAAAAGGTGTGGCAACCACAGCTATTCTGGAGTTGTGCCACACCCCATTAACTCATCTCCAAAGAAAGTTTTAGGGGACACAATTTATATAGTTCGATAGTCAAAATCTCTTAGTTTTTGCGAAAGACTAGGGCTGAATTCGTCTTCATTGGTTTGTGCAATAGTTGCCAAAAGACCACCACTGTAAGCTAAAAATGAGACGAGTTGGCTGGCGCTTACTTCCATAGTTTGTCGGTTATTTGAAGCAGTTGATGAAGGAAAATAGGGAGTAGTGATTTGTAAAGAGTACAAGAAGGAGTAGCTAACTCGCTTCTGAGATATAGTTAGCCTTGTTTAAAAATGCCACTTCACTTGGGTGGCCCAATATCGGGAATCCTCAGAATTCGCTAAATCACCCACAGGGATTCTCTGAATTCTCTGACATGATAGTTACGAATACGTTATTAATTATGCTTGGTGAAGCCTTTATGTCATGACTATGGTAGGCAAATGATAATGCGGAGGGAGGTGGGCGTATTGAGACAGAGCTTACAGAACTTAGGCGGGGGGGGGGGGGAAGGGGAGGGTCGTCTCCAGCGGTTGTGTGCCCCACCTTGCTTGATCTTGCTTATAACCCCGAAAATTCCCAAAATTCACTAGTTTTTGAAAAATGCCTGCAATTTTTCTAATTCGTTTCAAATTTCAAACTGTACGCAGTTGTAGCACACATTATGCTCTACATATTGCCAAAGTTTGAGCGCGATATTCGAAGAGATTAAAGTTATGAAAGCAGTTGCAAAGCCTGTTTCCAGTCTAATACATGGCTTCTTCATTTTTAAAAGAAGGATCACTTAGTTTTTGAACAGCATCAACCTTACCCTCTTGGTACTGGCTAATGTCAATATCTCGTTACTGAATTTGGGCCTGAATGCAAACAACGTAAAAATGTAAAATAAAGTTTTTTTGTTGATATTTCTAGATATGGATAAATATCACAGAACCCCTATATTGGACATATTACGGTTCACTAGTACTTGCTAATTAGATTCTTGGAGGAATGGAAATATATCATGGAGACAATTACTTAATTTCGTAGTGTAATTAGGAGTTGCCGAAGTTTAGAGTTTAACCGACATTGATCAATATGAGAAAAAATGTCACTTCAGAAATTATCACTTATCATAAATTTACGAGATTCTAGCACTTAAATAATAATCTGCTAGGCCTACACAACGAAATAATAATCTGCTAGGCCTACACAACGACTTTTGTGGTGAAAAACTGAAAAAATAACTTGTGTAAGTTTCAATTTTGTAACTTTTTGTATACAAAGAAGCACAAAGTTTATTTAGATATCATGTGTTTGAAACCTAATAAAGTTGCAGCTTTTTGGAATTTTTTCCCGAAACAGCGTGTTTACCGCAAAGTAAACAGCACTGCATCTTCTACGGGAGATGATTTATATCTACAAATTACAGCTTAAGATGTCAACCTTTTAATACGGTGGGAGCACGCCTTCTTCCCGAAAAATTCGCCTTAAGAGATGTTAGCAGTTGAATAGTCACCGGTTTTGGACATCTCGTACTATGAGTTTGAGTACACCAGTGTAAGTTGCTGATTGGACGGATTACACGACTGCCCTCAGAGCAGTGGCAAACCAGTAGCCCTACACTTCTCTTGTTCGTCTCACACCAGTTCATCTGGTTAAAACACTTTTGAAGATTAAATTTACAGCGTATCTTATTATTACTCACTCAACAAATCTTTATCGCTTCTGGCATTCATACCCGGAAGATTTGGAACGCTGGCGACCTGCAAAGATCAGAACAGACTGCCGCAATTGTTTGAAACCTGATACGAGAGAGTGGTTTTTTTCCCTATTTTTTTTGCAAGAGCGAAGCAGTCGAATAAATTTCCGATAAGACTGAGATAAAAAAAAACATTATCTCAATTTAGTTTCCATGGGATGCGGTGAAAAAAACCGAATTAGCGCCATTGCTCACACTCCCCTTGCAAAACTCAGTACTTCATTTTCGCGAGTGATGAGGTTCTGACTCTCCCTTTTGAAATAAAATGGCATCCACTTGACCTTTGCACGTGACCGAGATGATACCATTTGTGTGCAATCACTCAAAGTTGTGTTTTTGACACT